CCTCCCGTCGGGTCTGGAGGCCTGAGCGCGCCGCCTGCACGGCCCTGCGCCGCCGCAGCGAGGCCCCCGGGGCCGGGTGGACGGGGCGCGTCCTCCGCGTTGCCCCGCGGGTCTCGCCGGTTATTAATTCCCGTCTAGACGGAGGAGAGGCGGGCGGCGGCCCCTTATCTGCGCCGGCATCACCTGCAAGCGATACACCGCAGGAGCCACAGGGCCCCACTAGGACCGCGGGTCCACCCAGAACCAGTCTGGCGTGTCCTTGGTTTATTTTCTTTCCAGACCCGAATGCAGGGGCGGGGATGGCCCAGGTCACTCGGTGTGACATTTCAAACCCTGCCACTTGTTTTCTTGAAAACTGGCTTTAGAGATCGGAGGAAATAAGCGAGATACCGAATCTCCAGCAGCCCCGGGCAAGCACACAAAACGCAGGCTCAAGTTTTACCCTTCGCAAACATTTAACCCTTTCGCAGCCTCGCTCGGTGGGCCGCCGGCGTACCTGTCACCCCGCTGCTCTGGAAGAAATTTCTGGTTTCCGTTTTCCGTGTCCCTCGCGTTAAACGAGTCACACGTATATCCCGCTTTGCCCAGGATTTGTTTGGAAAGGCAGCAACGCCCCGAGGTAGTTGCTCTTTTAGCTCAGGCAGTCTGGAGACGAACAAGGCGTCTGCCGGGGATCTGTGATCGCGGGACAGAGGAGTAGGTGCCTTCTGTTAAAATGCGTAGGCTGCTTGGGTGGCCACAGCCACTGCAGGTTTTCCGACAGAGCTGATGGCAGGATTTCGGCACCCCGAGAGAGGGGGAAGGCTGGAAGACGCCGGCGGGCACTCACTGAAAGAAAATGGGAGGTGGGGCAATCAGGCCACATTTATTAACTTGCATCCTGAGAGTCAAGGTGATGCTAGCACAAAAATTAAACAATATTCCCTTCTTCGGGATTTAGGAAATGGCGCTGTAAACTTAGAGATAAGGGAAGAGATATATGTAGGGTTAATGAGGACCAGCTTTTCCTCCCAATAACCCAGAAACGGTTTTAATAATCAGGGTTAGGCTCTTGGAGGTTTCGTTCTCTTAACTTAGACCATTCCCTCCCGAACAGAAATATAGTTCTTTCCTTTTACCTTTTGACTGGCCATTGGATAGGGGGCTAAACTTGCAAAAAATCTTACTTTCGAAAACTTCTGAATTACCTAGACTATTGGGTTTTGTCACTTTCAAAAGGAAACAATAGGTCCTTGAATAAAGAATTTCATTAATGGTGGTTAATTAGCTCCGATTTTTTTTTTTTTTGCTTTTGACAGGCTGCAGTGTTTTAATGCTATGAATGGAAACAGCTATCTAGTTACAGTCATCCATAGCTCAAAAACCTAATTCCTCTTTTTGATATTTAGGGGAGCATGTCTGTTTTTGAATCTTGGAAGTTACCCAGATAAAAGCAGTGAAGGTGTACCGCAATGCCTGCCTGCACCTATCTGTAGTACTGTATACAGCAGCATAGGCTTTTCTCCTGCCGTTTGTTGCGAACTGCCCAAAGGGACACGTCCTTTTCCATGACGTTTTCCAGGGAAAGGGTTTGACTTTGAAGCTTTATTACAGTGGTTCCTGGTGAGGTGTCAGCTCTATGGTTGGTTACATTAATAGATATGTCTTAGTGGTTCCCAGGTCACCTTTAAACATCTGTACTATAGTAAGGATTTTATTGTAAACTGAGTTACCGGTAACAATTTCAAGTGTTGTATGTTGACTGAACTTTTCAAGTGCGATGCCCAATTGTGTAGTTAAAAAGTCAGTTCAGTAACGGTCCATGTGTGGAAAATGGGACTTATTTAACTGGATTCACTTTAGAATAAGATAGTCTCAGATTTATCTAATAATTTGCATAGCGCTATGAAATTGAGGCTGGAAAGGCTTATGGCTATTACACCACAAAATTTAATACATATTGAAAGGCTGCATAATTCTGGAAAATTCGGAGCCCCTGTGCCAGCATTCCCAACAAAGTTTACTATTTAATGGGCTGTGGGACAGGAATCAGCCTTTCAGTTTTGAAGATGGACTAGCTTAAAACTCAGTTGTGGCACCGCTGCAAGTACCGGGTTTAAGTGAGACACTGTCTAAAATTGTTCTCAAGAAAACGTGAGATTCTGCGACTGCTGCTTTGGGGGAGGGTGCAAGTTGCCCCACATTTAGCTGGCTGTGTTTTCCACACAAATGAGTGTTCTCCAAAGAGAGCGAGAGAGTGAGCCGAACAGCAGCGCGCTGGAAAGAGGAAACAATGAATAATAAACTATCTGCAGAGAAGTTCCCGGTGGACTCGCGATAAAAGCAGGAAATTCACTTTATTAAGCTGATGTAGGGAAGATTAGAGGCTTTTACATATGGGTCTGATTGATGTAAAGGTAAACTTTCTTCAAGATACAGGGAGTCAATGCAAGAATGATTGTGTCACAGTATCAGACTAGCACCTTGTTGAGAGAGGCTGTGCACGGGGACGCAGATACGTGGAGCCAGGCCGAGTAGTAACAGGAAAGAAAAGGGCTCAGGAAATACTCCATTGGGGTCCAGATTTGGGTGGGGAGTGGCTCGATTTAAAAAGCAAGTTTGGAGCGCTTGCAGCAATGTGCCAGAAACGCAGGAGTGCCAGGTGAGTGCGGTTTCGGGTGAGGGGCGCCTCCGGTTGAGAAGGTCGGGAGACAGACTATTGAAGGGGGTGGTTTGGGTACAGAAGGCAGGAGACCCCCCCCCCCCCCCCCCCCCCGTCTGGTGGGAGCAGGGAGAGGGCAGTGGAAGAACGGGGTGGTGAGAAACCCCTTCCGGATTACTGAGACCCCAGGATTTAGAAAGCGGGCAGGGAGCTCTGCAAGAAATGACCGGCGGTGGGAGGGGAGGTCGGACGGAGGTCACGGCGCACCCCGCCGCCTGGCGGGAGGCCTGCCCGGGCCTGGCGGCTTGGCCCCATCCGGGACCGGGGACCGGACCGGTCCGCCCAGACTGGGGCAGAAACGGTCAGATTACAAGTTTACTTGCTCCTGGGAGGTGGTCACAGTGTGTCGGTGACTTCCGGCTGCGGAACAGGCAAGAAACGCAGTATATCTGAGGCGTCCTGCAGCGAGCCTCATAAATTGCTGACTTTTCCTCTCGGCGAAGGGACCCGCTCCGTCGTGGGGTGGGGGGTGTGGGTCTGTGCGCCCCTCGGTCCGGGTCCAGGTCCGCCCGAGCCGACTGCGGTGCAGACGAGCGCGGAGCCCAGGGTCCCGGCTCGGGATGAGGTGGCCTGTCGTGAAATCGGACCTGCACATTCTCCCTCCCCACTTGCGAAGCTGTAAACGGCAGTAGCCGCTTTGGGCTCGGTCCCGAACTCAGCAGGTGGGTTTGATGCAAACACCGAAGAAACGTTTTCCGGAGTCCCTCCCACGTCTTGAATCAGACAGTATTCAGACCTTTTTCCCAAGCGGATCTCTGTCCTCGGTGATGTCCGTCCACACCCGCACAAGTGGCGGCTGCTGCCACTCACGCCCGCTCCGTGCCGCCCGCTTCAGGTGCAGAAGCGGCTCGGGCTCAGGCTGCATGGAGCGGCATGGCTTCAGGTCGCACGCCTTCCAAGAGCTCCTGTGCGGTCATTCACTGTGGCTCATCTTTTCTGGTTGGGTTTTCTTCCGGAGAGCGACGTGGGTTGGGCAGTCGGGGAGGCTCCGAGTGCGGCGCAGTTTAGGCTGGCAGACCCACTAAGACACTGCTCTGAATTCATGGCCAGTGGCAGAAAACACGCATGTAACTGGAATGGACCAGTGTCCTAAATATCTCTACTCCCAAACTCACAGAGGGAAAATTTCAGCAGGTCTTTAAGATGTTTCCAGAGCTGCAGCTGGCACTTTTCTTTCAGATTTGTATAGCCTTAACAAGAAAAGTCACCACTGCAAACAGAATAAGTTATTTTATTACAAGAACAAAACAGACTTGCTAATTTTGTCTATCACCTATATTGCAAACGCAGAGTACATATTATCGGATGGAAGCTATATCAAACTCCAAAATATTATGCATAAATGAAATAAACTCAGAACATTACAGTATGGACAGTCAGTATAAATAGTGCAAAGGATTAACTGTGTCTACAATACAGGGGAGAGTGCAAACATGTGAAAAGGACTTTCTTCAGGAACAGCTAGAGGGTTTTAACAATTTAAAATATTAATAAGGGTACTCAGATGTAGAACCGAAACATTTATTATTTTTCTTTTTTTAAGAAAAACTGTCGAGCGTCTTCCCAGGCCTGCTGAGGAAATCTGTTAGCCAGCTCAAGATAGTCTTGAGAGCTGAGGCATTTTCCTGAGAGGAAAAAAAGAAAAGAATTAAATTAAAAAGAGTTAAATTCTTCAAAGTTT